CAAACCTCGTCAAACGGACGAAATGGCGCACAGTGCACGATTTCGGAGTGTCGATGGACAAAATCGTAAATCTGTCGATAGGAATAAGATAAAAATATGGGTTCTAAAGGTGTGATAATGGCCTATAAAGGAAAAATAGTGCCGTTATACATATAAGACCACAAAAATATTTGGTTGAAAACTCCAATAAAAAAATTTTGGTTTTTGGTTTCATACTCTCTCTTGTAGATTTTCAATTCAATTTTATAGTGAAATACATTCAATTCAATTATATTAAAAATATATTCAAAGATATAACTCCTCAGAGCAAGATAGTACTTTAATGGCTTTACGAGATCTATGTTTTTAAAACTTGAAAGTATGTAGTCACATTATTTTAATAAATAAATGCAAGAAAATATTTTATTTTTATTTTTGCCACTCCGAATTTAGTTTTAGAACTCACCCACGATGCAAATTTTCATCGTTAGATGTAACTTTCACAGTAGGAGAGGCTCCACTGAGAGCAGTAAAATTTTGAAAGGGGTCTACGAGAAAAGAGAGAGAGAGATATAAATCAAAAAGTGACATGGAATTTTTTATTAGTTACGACTTTTAGCCTTTCAACGATGATGTTTGTTACGTATTTTTGCATTTCAGGTGACGATATGTAATTGGAAATTTTTTGCATTAAAAAATGCGTCACGGTCAGAAAAAAGAATCATCAAAAATCAAGGCGATTTTTTAGCAACATAAAACTTACACTTTGTTATATCAGAATTTAATGGGCTATAAAACTGCATACCCAAAATTTTTGTGGGTTGAATGTAATGATACTATTTTTCCCTTGTAGACGAATATTTCAGCTTTCGAAGCCATATTTTTCCATATTATCCTAATTCCATCGTGAGATTTACGATTTTGTCCATCGACACTCACAAAACGTACAGTGTGTGGCGCCTGGGCGGTTTAAAGAACACAACTCGAATGCAAATGTTGTTGTTGTTAAATGCATTTTGGCCTGATGAGTTGATGTCTCTAAAGACTTGATATTTATACCTTGCCTACTTCACAAGAAGAGAAAATCTACTGCTTACGGCGATAACTACCGAAAGAGAATAATAAACGTTCATCTTAGAGACTCGTCGACAAGCAAAATATAGGTTTCAGAACCAATGAGTGAATTAGCTGCTCAAATTTGACCCGATAAAAGAGGTCCATTGCCCCTTTAATCAGACACCTGCTCAGAATTTGTGTCGCTTTGTAGGATAATGTATTTATTTGGTTTTATATCTTGGAAAGTCGTCGGCAACAATGCCTATTCTCAGTCTGAAAATAAATGGAAAAATAACTCCAGATCATTATAGCTCGGTAGGCAATATTTATCGATAAACAAGAAACCAAATCGACCAAGTTCAGATATAAGGACCAAACCGCACATGGAAAGTACGACATTGAAAAGCTCCAGTCACAGCTGTAAGCCAGCGTATTTGGGACTCGATATAGCACAACAACCACAATGGAAGGACTAAGTGCGGAAAGATCGGTCTCCATTCAGTTTGAATAACTGGCTCAACTTCCCAGAGAAGACAGGTCATTTCCGATGTTTTTACATCTCGACAATCGACAAGGAGCTGAGTTGGTATAAAGGAAAGAAAAGAAAAAGTAGCTAGTTATGCAGTCTATGCTAAAAAATATTTGTAACCATAAATAAGGACATCACTAAGAACAGTCATCTAAAATATACCACTTTTTACAGCCAATATCCTCAGCACAACATTCTCAATCAGCATAAATTCCTTGAATTGCAATGCGAAGTTGTCATTCCTATTGAATTGACCGCCTTCAATTGGTCCCTACCGTAGAATAGCACTTAATAGCTTCTCCGCAGCAATTTACTATCCTTGCACTCAGCCGCGGCATTCCACTCACACATACATACATACTTACATACTAACAAAGAAACATATCTGAACGCGAAGACAACCACAACTGCCAACCCGCTCAACTCCCTCTACTTGCAATGTCTCAAAAGAGCTGTCAATATGACATATTTCAATTTCTGCTACCTACACCGCCAACAACTTCAAAAGCGATCGCAACGCAAACTCACTGCCACTGCCGGACAATTTGAAACAAAACCTACAGCTTCACTTTCAACTGGACTCCGCTGAAGAAGAGCCGCCCGCCTTCCAACATTGCCGCCTAGAAATATTTTGATTGCCGAACATTGTCAACATTGCAACGATGATTCTTTCAGTCGCGCCTCTTCTTCTTCTTCTTTCGACTCTATTGGCGGCCAGTTGTCATTGCTGGTTGCTCCTGCTCTGGTTGGTATGCACTTGCCAATGTTGCACAACCCGCAAAATACAATTGTGGTAGTAAATAGTTGTGGCAGCTCTGAAGTGTATTGCTACTGTTTTGCTTTCAGTTGCTGTTTTTTTTTTTTGTTTTGTTACTGGCCATCCACCGCCCAGGCCGTGGGACGTACGCGCTCCAATGTCGTTGAAGTTGAGCTGTTGCTGCGCCCCCATTCGCCCCCTTTCGCTTTGGCAAAATGTCTGGTTCGCGTCATTGTCATTTAGTTGCCACAGTTTGTTGATGTTATTCACATTGCGGCGCATTGTTGGCGGTTTGCTAAATCGCTCCATTGCCGCCTTTGTTACTTTGTTACTTTGTGGTTCGCCGTGGTCGCGAGGGCGGCTTACATCAAAGCGTGCCGCACCGCAGCCACTATTCGATTACGCTGCTGGTGCAGCCAGTGGGCGCATGCGTTGCCGCGCATCATTTCAGCGCAATTTTTGTCATTGCATCTGGAAGTTTTGCCTCGAAGCGCTGCCAATCGTCCGCCTCTCCGCCTCTCGTCGCCGTCGTCAATATTGTGGTCCTTTTAGCTTAGCAGTTTTGCGGCAGTTTTTATAATTGCAGCCACTGTTTGTTGCTACCGTTGTTAAACGCTGCCTCCTGCCACCATCGCTTCAATAAGAATTGCGTTCAACTGTCGCCCTACGTTGAAGTATTTCAGATATTGGCTGATAGTAGGAATTCATTGATGTGCTTTTATGGTTTACCGACAGCTGCATACGAACGTGCACTCATACAAGATGGCAAATTAAGCTGAGTGTGTGTGTGTGTGTGTGGGAAAAAATCGGGAGTATACAAATGTCGGAAGCCTCATCGTACTTAGTCCGATCGAAGGAGTTGCTTGGCAAAATGTTAGCTTTTGAATACCTGAGTAGGACCTTGAAAAATTTGGTTGAAAACTTTGGAGCTTCGATCCATAAAACTGATGATTTATTAACGTAGAGTACCAAGCGAGGGCGCACTCAATCCATTAGAGTAGTCGATGGTAGGATTCAGGTTGGATGGAAGAGCTCCAGGTTGATGCAATGAACGTAAAGCTTTGTGCTCAACCCACCTCCCGACGAAATACCGGGAGGGGAACGATACCTGACGGTAAGAGGTTGGGTTTGGGTTAAAGTCGATACTTCTTTTTAGTAAAAAAAAGAGAAGAAAGTTGCTACCCAGCGCAGTCATTCCAATTCAAAACCGAGCAATCGAAACTGATACAAATCTTCCCTGATAACCTACTTCACACACACTCAAACACTCATCCGCACCACGTACCAGTGCAATGGCGGTTCTATCCCAGCAAATTTACACACACACACACATCGATCAAGATAACATTTTAATTCACTTAAAACTGAGCGAACGTACTGCTGGTGCGAGGGCAAGCGAAAGGAAATTGAAAATTAGAATCTGCGCGCATCCACCGACAATATTAGCGAAGTCGCACCAGAATGGCCGATGTTTTGATTGTACCAGAATGAAGTGCGGCCAAAGAGTTGTTGCCTTAAAAGGCCAACAAGCCAACTTGGCGACGTTCGAGGAGCTACATTTGCCTCCCAAGCGCGAGTTGGTGGAATATTGAAGTCGTTGCTGCAATGGGTGCAGAAAGAGTCGCGGACGGCGGCGACTGCGCACGCGTGTTCATACTTTCGCAATCGACATATTGAGAACAGCACTAGTACATGTACATACCTACATACCTACATAGATACGTAAGCGCAAAGTCAGCGATGCTGTCGCAGTCGATTCTAGAGCAATGTGTTCACGTAAATTCAGTTCATTTAATGCCTTGTTAGCTTAATTGAGCTATCGCCTAATTAGTCGCAGAATCTCGCCTTATCCGTTAGCAAAACATTTTAATCTTAACAGCAAACAAGTGCGTGCATGTTGTAGTACGCGAGTATCTATGCGATACGCCACGAACTTGCGATACTCGTGCTCGCACTTTGCACTGTATCTGCACTGTATTTGATCGTTGCAACACAGCGCGCAAAGCCATGGAAATTGCACAAATGCCAAAGTGTAGGCACGACGGGAGGGCGATGAGCGCGGCAAAATGTGGCGATTGGTGTGAATACACTGGTACGAAATGCAGTTAATGAAATTTTTACACTCAAATAAATAGCTTTGGGGACTCTACTATGTAGAGGTGAACCACAACCTGGTGGTCATTTATCCATAATTAGATTAGGTTCGAGAGACTTTCTCCAGACGGCATGGAGGCCTATTGTACTACCAAAAAAAAAGAAATTGCTGAACTTTTTTAGGCTTTTTCAAACTACTCAGCTATAATAGAAATTCAGTTCAAGGCTCCATGTCTGGCAGACAACGGAAAAGGTGAAAGATGCCTACTTAATAGCAAATATATCCGCGTGGTCCGGTTGACGAAAGGACAGTTTCGATTTGAGTTGATCGATGGAAAAAATTACGCCCATCCCTCATTCCATCTTTGTTCCGCCCAAGGCTGGGTATCCCCCGAAGCCAGTCACTGCGGCTTAAGAAGATGCAGCGATTCATGTGTTTGGTCTCATATAGTTGGTGGGCAGCGATTTATATCATTAGGCCTTTCTCTCCAGTGGTCTAAGTTCCTTCAGTACGCGCAGTACAGGAACTTTCAATAAAATCGTGCCTAGCCCAATAAATGACCTTATATCGTTTATTCCCCGTCTCATTTATTACCAATGGAACATTATTTTTAATTCCTTTAATAAACATTAACTTTAAGTTAGATGCTTCTACACAAACCTTAGCACCGTCAGGACTCATTCTCATAGTTTACGAAGAGATGAACAATGGAAAACCAAGTACCCACAGCGCCACCTACCAACCCGAAAATCACCAGAAATAAGTCTTGCCACAAATAGATTTTACATGGTCCAAATCCGAAGCTGTAACGCATGCAAAAGTCCATCACACCGGGAAAAATCAAACCCAGATAGGAGAGTGAAAAAGAGCCAACGAGCGAGAGTATCAGCACCAGTTCCGAACTCATGACTGCCGCCATCACTGAAATGTTTACACTCTTGTCAACGAAAGGCCCAAAAGTGAGTTTGATGGCATTTTTCAAAATTACCTGTTCCCAAAACAATGGCAATACGCAACACATACTCGAGAGGATGTGACTCCTTCAGCCCGAGATAGTCTGCGTATCGACGCCAACACACCTGAATCGTAATGTAGCCTTGCAAGGAAAATGAGAGAAATATTGCCACTGCGAACATCAGCTTTGCCAAGCGTGGAAAGCTAGAAAAATAAGCGAGTATTATAAATTTGTTAAGTATATAATAAAAACAAACGTACATATCATCCAGAGGCAAATTCGATGTTATGCTATCCTTAACCGTATCGCCGTAGTGCCAGTAGCCAAATAAACCGATCAAAATGTAGAGCAACAGCGATGTGCCTAGGCCCCAATTCAAAAGGCCACACAAACCCAAAAAATCCTTGGGCAATTTCATTTTGGCTTCAATTGAAATTATCTGCTCAAAGAAATAAATCAAAGATCATTTCTCTTTAAAGCATTTGATCATACAGACCACACCCACTGACTCGATGGCAAAGAG